AAACCAAGCGGAGGCAGTATACCACATTGGCAGATGTGCAGGTGAACATCTGCTTGATGTGGAAAGTCTTCTTGGGGCCTGGGATGGGGTTGAGGGAGGAGGTATGGGGGCAGGTGTAGCACTTCCTGCGGTTGCAGGGAAAAGTGCCGGGTGTGGTGGAGCTGGAGGGGAGTGTGGAGCGGACAAGGGAGTCACGGAGAGAGTGGTCCCTCCGGAAAGCAGATAGGGGTGGGGAGGGAAAGATGTCTTTGGTGGTGGGGTCGGATTGCAGATGGCGGAAGTGTCGGAGGATGATGCGTTGGATCCGGAGGTTGGTGGGGTGGTACATGAGGACGAGGGGGATTCTTTTTTGGTTCTTATTGCGTGGACGGGGTGTGAGGGATGAGTTGCGGGAGATGTGGGAGACACGGTTGAGGGCATTCTCGACCACTGAGGGGGGGAAGTTGCGGTCCTTGAGAAACGAGGACAACAGAGATATACGGGAGTGGAATGCCTCATCCTGGGAGCAGATGCGGCAGAGGTGAAGGAATTGGGAATAGGGGATAGCATTTTTGCAGGAAGGTGGGTGGGAGGAGGAGTATTCTAGGTAGCAAGTTTCAAAATCTCCCCTCCCACTACCGCATCCCAAAACCAGTCCAGCTCGTCCCTGCCTCCCTAACCTGTTCTTCCTCCCACCTATCCCCTCCCCCCACCTCAAGCCGCACCTCCATCTCCTACCGACTAACCTCATCCTGCCCCCTTGACCTGTCCGTCCTCCCTGGACTGACCTATCCCCTCCCTAACTCCCCACCTACACTCACCTTTACTGGCCCCATCCCTGCCTCTTCGACCTGTTTGTTTCCTCTCCACCTATCCTCTCCTCTATTCATCTTCTATCCGCCTCCCACTCTCTCCCTATTTATTTCAGAACCCCCTTCCCCTCCCCCTTTTCTGATGAAGGGTCTAGGCCCAAAACGTCAGCCTCTCTGCTCCTATGATGCTGCTTGACCTGCTGTGTTCATCCAGCCCTGCACCTTGTTGTCTCTTATGAAAATGTGGATCTTTTTCAAAACCTACCATCACTTTTTGAGTAAATTTAATGTACGTCAGGGGCCAAAGCAGGGACTCCTTTTATATTTTCCAATCAACCTGTTCAGAGGTGCTCTCACATACTCCTGGAGCAGGTTTGTGGGGAGGCGATGGCCTTGTGGTATTATTGCTGGACTGTTAATCCAGAGACCCAGATAACATTCTGGGGACCCAGGTTCAAATTCTGCCAAGGCCCATGGTGGAATTTGAATTCAATAAAATATCTGGAATTAAGGATCTAAAGATGACTGTGAATCTATTGCCGATTTTTGGGGAAAAACCCACCTGGTTCATTAATGTCCTTCAGGGAAGGAAACTGCCATCCTTACCTGGTCTGTTCTACATATGACTCCAGACCCTCAACTGCCTTCTGGGCAATTAGGGATGGGCAATAAATGCTGCCTAGCCAGCAATGCCCTCATCCTGTGAATGAATAAAGGAAAAAAAAGGTTGGACTTGAACCTGGGTCTCCTGGCTAAGAGGTAGGGACACTACCACCGTGCCCACAAGAATCCCAAACAGTTTGTTTTACACCTGCTCAATTTCACCCTAACGGAGAGTGAACTAACACGGGGGTGAGTGCTGTCTATCGATTCCCATTAGTTGCCAATGTCATTGGGATGTGCTGTGGTTCACCACTCTTCACCATTCCCCATCCTTTACACTGCAGGACATCTCGCCAATACCAGTTATTGAGGCCGTAAGTACACCCCAGGGACAAACAGATTCCAAAACTCCAACTTCCGTATCCCAGGGACAGGCGACAGATTCCAAGGTCTCCGCACAAACTGGATCACCGATATCACCGCAAGGGAGTGCCAAGCCACCAGCAACAACCACTGAGTCCTCCAGCTCCAATGTACTGTTCACCTCGGGAACGAACCTGCTTCTGGGACTCCTGCTGGCTTTCTGTCACCAACAACTCTTGTAGAGGATGACAGGCGGCTCTGAGGGTCCAACGGAGGCCACATCACGCAAAGACTACTGAAAGGTTCTGGGGCGGGGGTCCTCAGTGCTTCCATAAATCAGCCTGGGGATTTTACTGTGACTTCAATCTAGTTAGCTTTCGGGTTTCATTGTCTTTTTGATATGCGCCACGTCAGTTTGAGATCTTCCTGTGATAAAATGAAAATCCATCGAATACTTTGTAACACAATATTTGAGATTTTTTTCTAATAGAAATAACAATTTATTTCAGGGTGAATTACAAACAATCATGTTGGCAGTGGCTTCTCCACCACCGCTTTATAACAAAACCGATGTTCATGAGCAATAATTGAATAGGTATGAGCTTGTTCTTGTGTCAACAGCAAATTCAATAGAACAATGGACGCCAATGCGTTGCCAGATGGACACGTCAGGCCCAATAAAAGCTTCAACTTCCTCTGTCTATTTCCACTGAGTTGCTGAGTTTCCCTGGAACAGACGTGTGAGAGATTATTGTTGTTGAATCTCCATCTGTAATTGACTAATTCTGGGCTTCCATCAATTGTATCATCTCCAGATTCTTTTAACAATCATTATGTAAGCGATTGAAGTGATCAATGAGATGCCGGAATAAAATGATTGCTTTCCATGTCACAGATTTGTACTGTTCCTTTGTCAAGGAATGCGGTATGGTGCTCCCATCACACAGTCACTCACCCTAACACACACTCTCACTATCACGCAACAACACATCTGGGTGTAGTTACTTCCACAGTGCTGTTAGGAAGAAGGTTCGAGGATTTTAACACAAAGGAGCAGGTGACTATAGCTGTAATTCAGGAGGGTCTAGCCATGTATCTGCTGCCTTTGCCCTTCTAGGTGGTTGTGGTTGTTGAATGGGACAAGGTGAGTTACTGCAGTGCATCCTGTAGATGGTAGGCACTGCTTCCACTGCACATCAGTGGTAAAGTTGAAGCTGTTAAATGGGTTGCCAATTAATCAGTCTAATTTGCCCTGAATAGGTTGAAATTCATGAGTCTTCTTGGTGATCAAATTATCCAGGCAAGTGGAGAGTATTCCATGCACTTCAGGCCTGTGCTTTTTAGTTGGTGGACAGACTTTGTGAGTCAGGAAGTGAGTTACTCACCACAAAATTCTGTTCTCTTTGCCACCGTCTTGTAAGGCTGGCCTTGTTCAGCCTTGTTCAAGGGGAGGCAACGTCCTCATGGTATTATCGCTGGACTGTTAATTCAGAGTCCCAGATAATGTTCTGGGTTTGAATCCTGCCAAGGCAGATGGTGGAATTTGAATTAAATAAAAAAAAATTTGGAATTAAGAATCTAGTGATAACCATGAATCCATTGCCGATTGTTGGGGGAAAAGCCATCTGGTTCAATGTCCTTTAGGGAAGGGAACTGCCATCCACACCTGGTCTGGCCTACATGTGACTCCAGACCCACAGCAATGTGGTTGACTCTCAACTGCCCTCTGGGCATTTAGGGATGGGCAATAAATGCTGCCTAAAAGCGATGCCCTCATCCCGTGAATGAATAAGGAATAAAGGATTCTCTGGTCAATGGTAACCCACCGAAATTGTTGATTGTTAGCTGACATAGCAATATGATAAAAAGGCTTTTTTCCTTTTGAGCTATGCGTTTAATTCCTTGAATTAATTTGTTCTATGCTGTTTGCCCATGGCTCAAGATCCCAAATTATTACCGTGGAGGCTCTGCTTTTTTAATTTAGCTCCTAACTGTTCAAATTCTTTCAGCAGAACCTCCTTCCTAGTCTTACCAATGTTGTTGGAAATCATCTTTTCCCAGATAGATCTCAGTTGTCATCTCCTCTGCCCTATTTAACAGTATGTGGCTGGGTAGGAGATGGAAGGCTGCTCATGCAGCATCTGGTGCCCTTGATGTTGCGGTTCTGCTCCTCTTGTTCCTCATTAGGGCTGCAACGTAGAATTTTATAAGTTGCTCCTGCGCTGCAGTAAAGTCTAATAGTACAGAAGATCATGTGAAGGTGAGTGAAGTCAAAGGGATTGATGGAATGGTTTCCGAAAATTTCGTAATCAGCTATGAAGCAGTGGTAGTTGCCACCTGACAAATTGCTGGTAACATAAACCTTCCACATACGCAGCCCAGCAGCTATGCAGTTTCACTGCTTAGAGGCTTTCAAGCATGTCAATTTCATTGAACAATGATTCCCCACTGTGGAATTAGCTTGGTGACCCTGACCAATCCCACACAGCCTGGAAAATTTATCACTGGTTGTTGGAGCAAAATCCCGGGATAAATCCATATTTATTGGATCCAGTCACAATTCCAACCCACTGGGAATTCCCACTGAACCCGAACTACCCACCCCTGTCCAGTAGCTAAAATCCTGCTGAACTTGGAGGAAAGGAATTCTGTAAAAATTCTGCAAACATTGAAGAAACAACTGGATGGAGTGACAGTGAGAAAACAAAGCTGGTAGGGAAGGAGGTAGTGTAGTGAGACAGGATGTTAGTTGAAAGGAAAAGTTAGGAAATGCTGGCAAATAATTGAAAAGGAAAAGGATTAGAGCTTGTATAAGAATATTAAAAGTAAATGCATAATTCAAGAGAGGTTAAAAATGCTCCACTAGGAAGGATGGCAATGAGGCGATCAGCTGTGGCTCAGTACATAACACTGTCATATCTCAAGTCAGAGTTCAAATGAATCCTCTCATATAGATATGAAAGATTTAATGACCCTTACTAAAGAAGGGTCCTGGAGTCCACATCAATACTTATCCCTTAAATAGCATCATCAAAAGCAGATATTCTGGTCATTGCCATTTGCTATTTATGGAACCATACTATTTATAATCTGGCAGATGAATTTCCCTGAATTACAGCTATGATTATACTTCAAATAGTATCACATTGGTTGTAAAGTGTTTAGGGAGGTATGACGCTCTGTCAGTTAAAAATATGTTGCATTCCTTCCTTATTTTCCATTATGATTCACAAACAATGAGGTTGTAATAGTGAGGGTGGTGGAGATCAGAACCTGTTTAACATCAAGTAGCTAATGCTCTCCTGTTCAAAGATTGCCATGTTTATCGCAGCAATGAATTAAAGTTGTACAAACAACCTTTGAACTGAATTGTATTTCATCCGAGTCTGGAATACATATAGGTGATGACGTTTTTGAAATTGACGATGTGATCAGTTAATCATTAACACTGATTTGGGATGAGTGTCTAACATACAGCACATACACATATATGATATGTATGTCCCATATGATATCCCATATGTGATGCCCAGTCATTGTATAGATGCATTGATGGAACATCATGATGCAGAGATTCAGATTAGAAATGCGACATTTTGGCGAGGAACTAGCCATCAAATTGTATATGGAAAGGATTGGTAAAGATGGTAAGGTAACTCAAATGATAATTAATGCCAGTTGCATCTCAAGTTCAATTACACTGGGTTAAATGGCCACAACCTGAGACCCCCAATTTAATGAATGGTGTGGTGGACGTGTGGTAGGTGTTGGCCAGTAATTCATTTCCGAAAAGAACCTTGAAGAAATCAGCCCAATTCACTCAAAATTGAAAGGTTTGTCCAAATTGTCTGGACCCTCATTTCCATACATTTTCTCCAATCTGATCCCACCTGGATCAGCTACCTGGAAGGCAATCTGAAGCAGGAATATGGTGATTGGAGGCTGCAGCAGAGTTCATACTAACACTGTCCAGCTGTCAAGTGGGTGATAAAAGGAAGGAGATTGTGGAAATCTAGGCTGAAGTTTTCCCTGAGCAGTGAGTAGGAGACATCACTGCACCTCATTGTACTCTGGTGGGTCATCAAATAGATTGATTGAAATGAAGCCCTAGGATCTTGAGTCCTTTTGCCAATCACCCCTTCTCTAGACACATCTTATATTTTTACCCATGTCCCTCTCTTGATCTTGTATTACCAGCTTCTTCTTTTGCCATTTAACCTCATTAGACTTCAACCCATTCACTAACTTTCCCTTTTTTTCTTTTAAGGCCATAATAAATAGGTACAAGAGTAGGCCATTCAGCTCCTTGAACCAGCTTTGCTATTCAGTAGGATCATGGCTAAGATGGGGAATTTCAAGACTGGGGACATATTTTTAAGATGAAAGGAGAGAGTTTTAAAAAAGACATGAGGCAATTTTTACACAGGGGGTGGTTCGTGTGTGGAATGAACTTCCTGATGAACTGGTGGATGCGGGTCCAATTATAATGTTTAAAAGACATTTGGATGGGTATACAAATAGGAAGGGTTTGAAGGGATATGGGCCAGGAGCAGGCAGGTGGGAATAGTTTAGTTTGGGATTATGTTCAGCAAGGACCGGTTGGATTGAAGGGTGTGTTTCTGTGCTGTATAACTCCATGACACTTTGACTATGGCTGGTCCAATACTCCTCGTGTCCACTTTCCTGCTCTTTCCCCCTTTTCACCTCCCTCCTCCTTTTAATTACTTAAAGTTATTTCCAACTTGTCCCAATTCTGGTGAAAGATCATTGGTCGGAAATGTTAATTTGGTTCCTCTGTTCACAGGTTCTGCCTGACCAGCTGGTCTAGCCTTCTCTGCTTTTTTTTCAGAATCCCAGCATTTGCAGGATTTTGCTTTTTTATTTGTGGTAAATCTTCATGTTTGATTTCTCAGGTCAATTGGAGAATGAATAAAATCCTTACTAACAAATTATTCTTGACGACTAGTTGAATGGCCTTTAACTCAACTCAAATACTTTTATAATTCGCAATAAACCATTTAACAAATAAAAAAATCAATTTAGAAAATGGCTCCATAATTTCTCTCTTGGGCTTTTTTTTTCACAGCAAATTCCTGGGGATTAATTTTTAATTCCTAGAGTCCACAAAACAATTCTGGAGGATTGGCAAACCTGTTGGAAACTAATGGAATTAAAGGGTGAGCAACTTTTTAAAAATTAATTTGTAGATTGAGGGTGTCTGTTGTTCATTCCTAATTGCCCGGAAGGTAGTTAAGAGTCAAGCACATTGCTGTGGGTCTGGTTTACATGTAGGCCAGACCAGGTAAGGGTGGCAGTTTCCTTCTCTAAAAGGCATGAATAAACAGAAGGGCTTTTCCCCTGATCATCGGCAACAGATTTGTGGTTATCATTAGCCTCTTAATTCCAGATATTTATTGAATTCAAATTCCATCATCTGCTGCAGTGGGTTTCAAGCCCATGTCACCAGATCATTACCTGGGTCTCTGAAATAACAGTCCAGTGATAATACCACTAGGCGATTGCCTCCTCCTTAAAGTACTTTAATTAAATTGACTCAGGGACAGAAATGAGAAAGTGGAAAATAGGAAAGAGATATCAAAGCACTCCATGTCCATATGCAGCATGGTCTGGACAATATTCAAACTTGGGCTGATATTCATGACACGCGTATGCCAGACAATGTCATATCCAACAAGATACAACGTAACTTTCTCCTTTTGACTTTCAATGGCATTTTTATCCCTGAAGTCCCTTACAATCAACATCCTTCAGATTATCACTGATCATAATCTCAACCTGGATCAGTACTATAAATACTGAGGGTTTAAAGGTTATAGGCTGGAATTCTGCAGCAAGTAACTCATCTTCTGACTCCCCAGAACCTGTCCACCA